GGTGACACTGAGGGTTGCGATCCGTTGCCGGACACGGAAAAAAAGACAAAAAAAAAAAAAGTGGGTCCTTTCCTGTTGAAATCAACGATAAAAATTGAAAGAAATGAAATCCTAAGTAATTGGGTACATATCTAATTCCACTTCTTCCCTACCTCTTTCTTCATATTTTAGAGTGAAAAAGAAATCAAAGGCAAAAATAAGGGAAGTGTGTTAGAAATAATGGTATTTTCTTTTATTCATTAAATGGTGTTTCACATTGCTGTGACGTGCTCTGTTCTGTGTTTATTGCTGCAAGAGAGACAGTGAAGAATAAGACAATGCTTTCCCCTTTATAATATAGATTATATGTATCTCGAGAGAGGTATGAATGAGAGGATTTAGAAGGAAGAATTACTTCCTGCTGTAAATGTTTAAAAACAAAAGGCGTACCCCCTGTCCACCATAGCCCTTGCCTGGTTGCATCCAGTGGGAGCTGTTAAGAAAATATTTAAGAAATTCTTAGACTTAAAAGAAGATGGAAAGACCATGAAAAGCAGGAGTCATGTAGGGAAACAGGTTGTGGTATGATATAAACCAGTAAGTAATTTGTCAATTTAATACTAATTTTATCTCTTTGGAAGGTCTTAGTAAATGGCCATTTAAAAATTACATTTAACAGTTCCGTGCTCGTTGCTGTAAGAGAGACAATGAAGAAAGAGTGCCATTATTTATATTTTTGTGGCTAAGTACATTTGGGATGTACAAAATTAGATAGTTTATTTTTTAATAGCAAAGACTACTTTTAATTTCTAGATCCTTTGATATACTAAATGTGGATTGTGAATCTCCAAGAGTAGATAGCATGTAGTGTTCTAAAAGTTAATTTGACTATAGTACATGTTTTCCTACTGAGAAATACCCTGCTAATTTCTCAAGAAACATGAGTTTGGAAATACTGCTTTATAAGAAAATAAACTAAGCCTTTTGGGGCAAACCTTTCTATTAAGTTGGGATTTTGTGCTTGAATTTAGGAGATGGTGAATATGTTAGTTTTATTACTGATTTGTACATAAAACATGATTTAAATAGAGAAATTAAGCTCTGTTCTAACAAGGAAACTAGTGAATTTTCTGTTTTGATTTTTGCCAAAGCATATATCTTACTGATTGGAATTACCATAATGAAGTTCTAGAATATATCTATGCATTTTGAAATAAAAATTGACGTTAATTTAGTTCCTTATATAGTTAATCTAAATAATCCTTGCTAGTGAAGAATAGAATGACATCAAAAATTTCAGATGTGTGGCAGTTGGCAAATGAGTAATAATATTTTTAATTTGAAAATATAATATATACTTGAATATTCCCAACCTCTTTCTTGAGGCTTCGCCTCACCTGCTGGCATTCATTCATCTGCTGAGGATCGAATACAACTCATTTCACACTTACGCCCTCTTTAGTGCAGAGAAGTATAGCCCTTGCTTTTCTATTCATTATGGTAGATTGTCTGAGAGAGACTTATGGCAGAAATGAGGAGAAACAAAAGGGGAAGGGTACACACATTTATTAGACATATAAAGTAATCACTTGGAAGATTTTTTTTACCCTTGTGATATACCTGCATGTTGAGGTGAAGAAATTCAAACACTTAATGCTTAAATTCTGGTGAATTGACTGGCTCAGTGCAGTAGAAAGTGTTTAATTTTTCTTAGTTTTCCTCATTTGAGTTCATAGGGTTTCACAGATTATCAGATCTTCCGCAATAAGTAGGTAAGGCTGTTTTTAACTACCCTGCAGAACAGAAAACAAAAAAGTTTATATTAGGATTTGTTTCTATTGCTGCATTAATGTAAAAGGTTAGCTTTGAAGCTCTGATCATGTAATAATAGATGAGTAGTACCTGACTTGCCATATATATTGAGATTGCTACCAGCTAACTGCTGTAATCTAAAATGGCAGGTGTTTTAAATACTACTTTTAGAAGCAACTTTTCACATACACTGAATATGTTAGTCCATGAATCTGTGTCCAGTTGAATGAATAATGTGTTATCAGAGAGTCTGCTATCATGCTTCTATTATTTTTCTTGTTTTCAATGTATGGTTTCAATATCTTTTTTCAGTTGGCCGTAAACCAAAGACCCAACAATCACCAATTTCCAATGGGTCTCCTGAGTTAGGTATAAAGAAGAAACCCAGAGAAGGAAAAGGTAATTTGGGGAGGGCAATTTTGGAGGTGAGATTTTTTTTTTCAGTCAGGTGATATTTTTGCATTTGTAAGAAAATTATTTCTAGTATATACACATGGGAGTACTAGGATATTTCAGAAAGTGTGTGGTATTTCAGAAAATGTGTGGAAGCATTGAATAAAAGATAATAGGAATCCTTCCATGAACTTTTTGAAGACCCTGAGTGTTGTCTCTGGTAGTAGTTCTTAATTAGGGATGTATCAGCATCACCTGGGAAGCTTTTTCCAAATCTATGTGGGGTCCCTGTCCCAAAGAGATTCTGTAGCCACAACTATATTATTAGGGTGTGGGGGATGACAGTTAAAGGGAACAGTCATTTGTATTTGGAAAAGGTCCTAAGGGTGATCTGATGCACATCCTTCTTAAGAGCTGTTTTAGGGGATGTGTGTGTGTACAATAGCACTCATCCCCACATAGAACCACTAAAGAATTAAAAGAGGTTTTACAACTAAGACTTGTTTCTGATTCATAATTTCTTAACTGGTTAGAAGCAATGAAAGCCAAATGCAAGCAGGGCAAGCCATATAGAATTTCCCTGTCAACAAATTTCAGTTATGTCAGTAACTAGTCAGAACAAACTTAACCATACTTTTGCTTTAGAATTTGCGTATCCATCCTCATTAAAAATAAAAAACAGCAACAAGCCTCCCCCAGTCTGTGCTTTCTTAATTTGTTGAGTCAAATGATTTCAAGTAACATTTCAGTAAGTGGTTTAGGTGTGTTCTATCTGATAATCTGATAACCAAAAATTTATCACTTCCATGAGTAGAGCAGTGTTCAATAGTTGAATAAATTTTGTATTAATATATTCAGATTTATTTCATCCTTACAGGTGGTCTGACATATATAATTTTAAATAATTAAAATAAAAATTAAGTCTAGTTAAAAAACTTAAGTCTTTAATAAGGCTACCAAGAAATTTGGTATTTAGTTAGACAAAAAATTCAGTTACATTGAACACTTAATTCAGGAACTGATGACTTAATTTAGGACAGATTTAGAATAATTTTTTTGTTTCTTTGTTTTTGTTCATTTCACATTTCTGACATTTTATGTTTTGTCTTTTAATTTATATTGAAGACTTTTAATAGTTATATAG